TTATCTCTGAAATCCAGCATGGGGTGGGGAAGAGTCCTGAAGAGGCTGACCTGGTTTTGAATGTTTCCTTAGTCATTTAGTAGGTATCCATCTTTGGTGCCTCAGTTTTCTCATCTTTAAATTGGGACTAGAGGAGCTCTTCTACTTAGGAATTTGAAATTTAGAGTTTTCATAATTTGGAATATAGTTATGTACCAGAGAAAAATGATATCAACTCAGACCTCCACCAACAAGTTTGTAGTTTTTTGTTTTGTTTTTGTTTTTGAGGAGTCTCTCTCCATTGCCAGGCTGAAGTGCAGTGGCTCACTGCAGCCACCGCCTCCTGGGTTCAAGCAATTCTCCTGATAACAGGCGCCTGCCACCACGCCCAGCTAATTTTTGTATTTTTAGTAGAGATGGAGTATCACCGTGTTGGTCAGGCTGGTCTTGAACTCTTGACTTCAAGTGATCTGCCTGCCTCAGCCTCCCAAAGTGCTACGAGTACAGGTGTGAGTCATCATGCCTGGCCAAATTTGTAGTTTGTTTGGGGTCACTATTGGTAAACTGTATTCAAGGAAGCTAACATATCAGGTGCTTCATATGTGGTAGTTACTGGGTGGAGGTGACTAAAAGAGTCCTCTGGGGCAGAAAAGATCCCAGGATGAAAACCTCGTTGCCAGCCTCAGCTTAATGATTGATGCAGTTTTATGCTTTTATCTAGATTTCAAGCATTTTGAGACTGTTACTTTCTATTCTATCACCTAGGTGGGTACAAGATTCAAATTGTGTGCAAATATAGCTTAGCCTTTCCCCAAAACAGTAGAGTTGAAGTGATTAAAAAACAACTATCGAATAAATAGCTTCTTTCCAAGAAACAGGAAAGCTTACTTTCAATATGTTTTCTTATCTAAAACGTTTGACGGTGTCACCTGATTCAGGTCTGAGCTAGATCCAGAATTTAAGTTTTGACTGTCAGATAATTTGTTTGTTCTCTTGGCCAGAATATATTTTTACTGGATGTGAAAAATTTTTAGTTAATAGTCAAGTCTGGCTGGTTAGTTAATTCCCTTCAAGTAAGCATAGTGATTTTGTCGAGTTCAAAAATTTTATTCTCTGACTAGTTATATTTTTTATGATCTTTTACTGAAATATATATCAGCAGATCTCATTAAGTACAAGAGCTACAGGATGAGTGTGTGGGTCACTAGTTCAAATTCATCACTACTGCAGCAAACCCATCAACAGTTCAAGTATCAGTCTGAATTTCAGATACAGTGTATGATATTGTGGATTATGAGAAGTCCTTTTAGATTTCAATGGGAACTTTATTAATAACTTGTCTTTTCATTAATATAGTTTCTTTCTTGACCCACCTATGACCTTCGTCCTTCATTATTTTTGAATTATATATGAAAAATATAATAAATATACTGGTATTTAGATCTCACATTAGGTCATATTATGTATTTCCCAAACTTGATAAGCTTTGGCTGAGGCATTTATTTTTATAAAACACCTAGACTCCCTCTCCCTAAAATTTTGATTCAGTGATTTGTGATGGAGCCTGGGAATTTGTACTTTTAAACAAATATCTCAGATCATGAATTTTCTTTTTTTGTTCTTATTAGAGAAGTTTACTTTTTTTTTTCTTTCTGAATTTTCTTAACCTTTTAATAGGATCATCTTGTTCTCTGTACTTAATATATGTGATTTTGTACCTTATATATCTCATTTTATCCTTATATAGGAGGTGTCCTTCTAAATTTAGGATATACATATCTTGTTAAATAGAGGTTTGGTTTCCAGAAACTTGATATAATGACATTTCTTAAATACAAATTGATAAGCAGTGCCTGTAACCCTTTAGCTATGCATACTTCCTATTATTCACAGTTGTTTGGTTTTAGTAAATGTGTGTTCATACTGGCTTATCAGCATTACTTTCTGAATCAGTATCTGTAGAGTTTTTCTTAGTCTCTCTCCATTGTAGTGCAAAGTAGTTCTTTCTTTTGAAAGGGGGATGAGTAGTAGGGAGATAGAGCTCTCTTGGTGTGCTAGCAAATAATGACATATTTGTTTAATTGTACAATCTTATATACCAATATAGTTTATACTGTGCAGTTTCAAATTTACAGATTATTCATTCTCTACCCCAGTTCCTGTTATTCCTACACATTTGACCTTTTGTTTTAGCAAAGTGACACATTTTTAGTGTCCTGTGTAAGTAAGCTCCATCCCCTATTCTAGGCAAAACTTTTTCATGGCACCCATCTGTAATGCTTTGCCACCTCTCCTTTATTTGCTTGAAGGCAACCCTTAAGGACTAGTTAGCCTAAGTCCTTCTGGTACGCTTTTGTCAACCATTCTCACTGATCAATTTTCTCAAAAGTGCTATAGCATATGCCACTCTGAGGATTTAATATGCTGTCTTATCAATTATATGTGAGTATTTTGGCTGTCTAATTAAACTGCAAACTTGGGTTCATCTCCTATAAAAAATTCTTAGCAGAATCCTTAGCACTTAACATCACATCCTTTTGGTAGCCTGACGAAATTCTAATAATTGTTTTAACCTCTTAAGCTAGTCAGGTAAGATGTTACTTTATCTTTAATCCTTTGTACCAAATAATTATCAGTTAGTTATATAGAGTTAACAGTAGAGTCAAAAAATAAGAATTACTAATTTTGAATTTCAGAATGTTTAGGGAGGACTGATTCCTTCCATAAATGTATTTTTTTTTAAAGACATTTATTCAGCGTCACGATCAGACTATTACATTTAGCAATCAACAGCATGGGTGCAAAAAAAGAAAAAGAAAAAATCTACATTAAAACCCTTTGTTGGAATGCTTTACACTTTCCACAGAACAGAAACTAAAATAACCTGTTATACAGTTAGTCACAAATACAGTCCTCGAGTTTTTTGCCCATACACATGAGTATTTGTCTAAATCATGTCTTCTTTGTAGCAGCTAGGCCCTGCCACCACTGTGCTTGGCTGAGTTCACAAATCTGTTGTAACCTGTAGCTTCCCTGTCACTTCTCTGGCTCTCCTCTCCTGCTAAGCTTTGTTTCCTAATTAAAATCTTCTGCCACTGCCATAGCTACTGCTGCTACTGGAACCGCCATAGCCACCTTGGTTTCGTGGTTTGGCAAAGTATTGGCCACCACCACCATAGCGGCCAGAGCTTCTGCCTCCAAAGTTTCCTCCCTTCATGGGTCCAAAATTTGAAGACTGATTGTTGTAACTGCCAAAATCATTGTAGCTTCCAAAATCATTGTAGCTTCCACCACCTCCAAAATTGCCTCCATCATTACCAAATCCATTATAGCCATCCCCACTGCCACCATATCCACCACCACCACGGCTGCCACCAAAGCCACCATGACCACTGAAACTTCCTCCACGGCCAAAGTTGTCATTCCCACCGAAACCACCTCCACAACCACCACCAAAGTTTCCAGAACCACGTCGACCTCTTTGGCTGGATGAAGCATTAGCCATCTCTTGCTTTGACAGGGCTTTCCTAACTTAACAGTTGTGGCCATTCACAGTATGGTATTTCTGAATGACAATCTTATCCACGGAGTCATGGTCGTCAAAGGTTACAAAGGCAAAGCCCCTTTTCTTGCCACTGCCTCTGTCTGTCATGATTTCAATCACTTCAATTTTTCCATACTGTTCAAAATAATCTCTTAGGTGATGTTCTTCAGTGTCTTCTTTAATGCCACCAACGAATATTTTTTTTCACAGTTAAGTGGACACCTGGTCTTTGAGAATCTTCTCTTGAGACAGCTCTCTTTGGTTCCACAACTCTTCCATCCACTTTGTGTGGCCTTGCATTCATGGCTGCATCCACCTCCTCCACAGTTGCATACGTGACGAACCCAAAGCCCCTGGAGTGCTTGGTGTTTGGATCTCTCATGACCACACAGTCTGTGAGCGTTCCCCATTGCTCAAAATGGCTCCTGAGGCTCTCATCGGTTGTTTCAAAGCTCAACCCTCCAATGAAGAGCTTCCTCAGCTGTTCCGGCTCTTTAGGAGACTGACTTAGACATGATCGCGGGGAGAAGAGAGACTTTAACGATGCTGCTTCGGTGGCGTCCACGGGCAGAAAAGCCCATAAAGATTTTACTAATCTTTTTATCCTTTTTCAATCCTTTTGGCCTATCATTTTACCAACAAACGTTTTCTGCTTTTAAGAACCCTGTGCCATTGATCTTTCTCACTTCTTCAGTCCTTAGAATATAGACATCATTGGATATTGCCCTTTGTCACTGGTTTTCAAAGGTGATCCCCAGGTCTTCCTGCATCAGAATCATCTGGAGTACTGATTAAAGTACAGATTCTTAATGCCCCTTTCCCTGAACTGTGCTGTTTTTCATATATATTTCACTTGGTTCATTTTTTTTTCTTTTGCCAGACTGCTCTCCCTTCTATCGTCACCACCATTGAAATCCTTTCTGTTATCTAAAGCTATCTGCCCATTCATTGTAGATAGAACTGTTTTAGTGTAGTAACTTAGGAACATAAGCTATGAGTACATACCACCTAATTCGGAATATTGGCTCCGTCACTTTTCCAATGTCTCCAAGTTAGTTACTTAAAAATATTTCTGTATTTTAGTGTTCCTTTGTATAAAATGGGGATAACAATATGTCTCATAGTGCTGTTTTATGTTTTATATTAATATTTGTGAATTCCTCAGAATAATGTTAGTACATAGAAAGCACTTAATAAATATTAAGCTTGTTGTGATTTCTTCCACTTTTTAGTTCTTATAAAATTTTATAATAAAGTAACTGGTATTCTTACCTCTTCCTATTAGATTGCAAGATTCTTGAAGGTCTTATTAAGTTTTCTAGTTTTAAATGGATTTTTATATAATAAAGGATGTTCATAAATATTTAAGAATGAAATCATAGGAAAATGGCAAACTAATAAGATTGTTTTTCAGAACCTATTTACTTAATATAAATTATCTAAAGTAATTTAATATTTTCTCTGTATTATATTTCAGGCATTCTAATGAATCATTGATTGACCAGCACTATTTTACCAGTTGGAATGAATTATCAGAAATGGGCATAGTACTTTTAGATCCAACATGTAACAGATGGATGTTACTCCTTGCTGATTACTTCTTTAAGCCAACACTGTTTTGATTGTGTAGGATCTTTATCTCTTCATCTTTGAATTCACTTACTGGAAAATAAAAGGAGTTCATGTAGTTTTTGTCCAGGCTTGAGTCACCATGAGTAGTAGTTTAGGAAAAGAAAAAGACTCTAAAGAAAAAGATCCCAAAGTACCATCAGCCAAGGAAAGAGAAAAGGAGGCAAAAGCCTCTGGAGGTTTTGGGAAAGAAAGCAAAGAAAAAGAACCTAAGACCAAAGGGAAAGATGCCAAAGATGGAAAGAAGGACTCTAGTGCTGCCCAGCCAGGGGTGGCATTTTCAGTTGACAATACGATCAAAAGGCCAAACCCAGCACCTGGGACTAGAAAAAAATCCAGCAATGCAGAGGTGATTAAAGAGCTCAACAAATGCCGAGAAGAGAATTCAATGCGTTTGGACTTATCCAAGAGATCTATACACATATTGCCATCATCAATCAAAGAGTTGACTCAATTAACAGAACTTTATTTATACAGTAACAAATTGCAGTCCCTCCCAGCAGAGGTGGGCTGTTTAGTAAATCTCATGACACTGGCTCTAAGTGAAAATTCACTTACCAGTTTGCCTGACTCTCTTGATAACTTGAAGAAGCTGCGGATGCTTGATTTACGGCATAATAAACTGAGAGAAATTCCTTCAGTGGTGTATAGGCTGGATTCTCTCACCACTCTTTACCTTCGCTTTAATCGTATAACTACTGTGGAAAAGGACATTAAAAACTTGTCAAAACTCAGCATGCTTAGCATTCGAGAGAACAAAATTAAACAACTACCTGCTGAAATTGGTAAGAGACCTTGGATTATTATTATTTGTAGTAGTTGTTATGCTAAATAATTTTGAGTGCTTTTTCATGTCAAAAAATGCTTTGATATTTGCCTAAAGACAGCTTATTTCTAAATTACAACTTGTTTATGGTTTACTTGATTTCATTTTCAGCACTGTTAATAGTACACAGTTTGAAATTGTTTCACAGACTTTAAAAGTGTGTCAGAAAATAGATGTAATTACTTCTTCTTTCACAAACAAATTTAATCTTTAATTTTCATTGGAGAATAAGTGAATTTAAAAAAGAAGTTTGCCTGATTTTCAAGTTGTTGCTACCTGTTTTTAAAGTATTCGTTCATACAATTTTATTAGATATTTGATATTTGAAAGCTTCATTTTCTCATTCTGGCTTTTCCTTATTTATCTGAAAGATGTTTAAATTCACATCACTTTCTACCTAATTTACCAAAAAAGGTTGACAATCACAGCCTTATGAATGAGCAGTGTCATAAGAAAGCAGAATTTTTTTTTTTTTTTTTTGCACCTTGAAAGTACTTACATGTTTATTAAAAATAACATAATAATTCAGAAGGGTAGAAGAAAAGTCACCTATAGTAAATGCAACACTATTAGCATTTTGGTAGATTTCATTCCAGTATATAAAGCTAACTTGTACTGAAACAAAGGAAAAAAAAATTTTTTTTTTTTTTGGAGACAGAGTCTTGCTCTCTTGCCACGCTGGAGAGCAGTGGTGCGATCTCAGCTTACTGCAGCCTCCGCCTCCCTGGTTCAATTGATTCTCCTGCCTCAGCCTCCTGAGTAGCTGGGACTACAGGCATGTGCCACCATACCCGGCTAATTTTTGTTTTTTTAGAGACGGGGTTTCACCATGTTGGCCAGGGTGGTCTCCGTCTCTTGACCTTGTTATCCACCTGCCTCAGCCTCCCAGAGTGCTGGGATTATAGGCGTGAGCCATGGCGCCCAGTCAGGAAATGTTTTTTAAAGGCTGGTAGTAGGAAAAAAAAATAGGGCATATAGACATGTGAATGTGTCACTTAAAAAAATATTAGTTGTTCTGGCATTTTTAATTAATGGAAAGACATTCAGAAACATTTGGAATATAGTAATCCATTGACATCAGTTTTGAAAAATTGATAAAGGTATTGCTGTTGTGGATAATAAGATTTGTATTTTATTATCTATAAGATTTGTAAAAATTGTCATAAAATGTTGATTATGAAACTTCTTAAAGGAAGTTTTCTTTTTGTATTAAAGGCCATTTTATTCTAAATAAAACAAAGATTATATTGTTATTTTTTAGGATTGGTCTTATAATGAGTGATAAACTTTCTTATTTTAGGCTTTGCAGCTTTTCAAAGATATGATATTCTGTGGGTGTTTTAATATTTTGTTCAGCTTTGAAAAAGATGTGGTTTAAATTTTAGGTATGATCTGTTACATTTAACTCAACTAGACAAGCCAAATATTAATAAATTTTAGTTTAATTAAATGTGTTTAGAAAAATGTATCATAGGTTTTCTCAAGTAATGTAGACTATGACTTAAGAGAGATTAAAATATTCCCATGAATTTCTGGGCGAAAATGCTCCATTCCATGTCTTCAGCTAGGAAGGTGGTTGGTGAATGACTTGTTATAGTATTGTATTTAGTCAGAATTTGACCTATATGTATGACTCATTGTGGAATAGAATTATAGGCAATTGTAGAAATAAATACTGAATTTCTACATAGAAATATAAAAGTTATTTCCTTTCTCTGTTCTTGTTGTTTTGTGTATGTGTTACACTCAGTCCTAAAAGTTTGGCTTTAATTTTAAGGACTTTTTCCATAGCAATGCTATCAAATTACCTAGGAAATAAGAAAATACGTGTATGTTCTTGAGCATATAGTTAGCATTTTTACTACAGAGTGAATGTATCTTTTAAAATTGGCATATTTTATGTAACTGCGTGGCTTATATTTGTAACTACCTAATCTTTTGACCTTTATTCCTAAATTATAATTTTTCAAAACAGCCATTGAATTTGTTAATGAGCTCCTTCCCATCATTAGTGACATTACTAAATTTTGTGTTTTTGTAATTGCTGTGCTTTTGTAAAAATGGTAATATCATAAATGTTGCTTATTTCATTCTAAGCAGGGTGTCAGAAAGTAAACTGCTTTTAAAAGTATAATGTTTCTCATAAGGAATTATGATTTATGAAGTTTAACTTAGATGCATGGATCTTGGGCAAGCATTCAGAAGTCTATGTCATCTTTTTCTTTATAGGGAACAAGAAAATAAAGGTTAGTAAAAATAACATCATCATCATAAGAATGGCTGTTGTTTGAGCACAAAAACCATATGCATTGTTCCATACATATATACTTTAAATATACTGTGTCATTGTATCCTTTCAGTAACCCAGTGAAATAGGTATTTTCTCCTTTGTACTGAAAAAGGAACTGACACTGTATAAAATTAGGTAATTTACTGAAGATCATGCTTCTAGGTTGGCACAGAATGTAAATGTAAGTCTTGGTCTTTTCCACTGTACTGCCCCCACAGTCTAGAAAAGTGGGTACCAACCTCATAGATTTTGATTCTCTGGTAAGTCCAGGGTCTGTACTTTTAAAGAACAGCCTGTTATTCTATGTGCAACTGCAGTTGAAAGCCATTGCATAAGATTAGGGGGAGAGGATTGAGTTTAACAGCTTAATTGGAGTGTAATTCATGTACCATACAATTTACACATTAAAAATAAACAATCCGGTGGTTTTTAGAATATTCGGATTTGTATAACCATCAGAGATAATGTTAGAATATTTTCAGTACCCCCAAAAGAAACTATACCCTTAAGCATTTGCTCCTAATTTCTCCTAACTCATTAATCCTAGGCAATAACTAATCTACCTTATGTCTCTATAGATTAGTGTTTTCTGGATGTTTCATGTAAATGGAATCAAATAATATGTGGTCTTTTGTGACCAGTTCCTTTTAATTAGCATAATATTTTCAAGTCTAATCAAGGTTGTAGCATGTGACAGAATAATTTTTCATTATATGGGTATATCACATTTTATTTATCCATCAGTTGTTTGACATTTGGGTTGTGCTTTGTCTGTTATGAGTATAGTTGCTATAAATATTTCTGTACAAGTTTTTGTGTGGATATTCGTTTTCACTTCTCTTGAGTATATACCTAGTAGAATTGTTAAGTCATATGGTAACTCTATGGTTAACCTTTTGAGGGGCTACTAGACCCTTTTCCAAAGGGGCTGCAACATTTTACCATTCCTACCAGCAGTATTTGAGGGTTCTAGTTTCTCTACATCCTCAGTATCCTTGTTATTATCTGTCTTTTCTTATTATAGCCATTCTGTGGTATGATTTGGTATCTCATTGTAGTTTTGATTTGCAGTTCCCTGATTACTATATATTTGTTTTTAATTCTTGAAAGCTATCTTTTATCATAACGGAAAGACAGAAATAGTTATTTTTGGTGCCGTAGATCTTGCTTTAATGGGTTTTTTATTTAAATTCTGAGCTCCTAGGAGAATGTTTATAAAATAAGACCTGTTGTTCAGTGATCAAGTAAAATGGAAATTTGACAATTGTAAAAGTATGAAACACTTTTAATATGGTTTGACATACTGCAAAAACCCATAACAAGGGAATTTTTAGTTCAAAATATATGCTAATATAATTTTGTTAAACTTTCATTTGTGCATATTAGAGCTACACTATTTATACATATATATTAGATTTAGATCATATTGGCTCCTTATTCTTCTTCATTGTTTGAATAAATGTATCACTTTCAATCATGCCATCCAGTTTGTATTCAGAGTATTTGAGGAATGTAAGTTTTTAGCTGGGCACTGTGACTCATGCCTCAAATCCCAAATACTGGGAAAGCTGAGGTAGGAGAATCCTTGAGCCCAGGAATTAGAGGGACAGTCAGCTATGATCATGCAACTTGCACCCCAGCCTGGGCAACAGAGCTGGTGTCTCTAAAAAGTGAAAATAAATTTTTTAAAATTAGGAGTTTTCAAAATAAAGCCTACTATTTTGTTTAAATAATAAAATTGGAATTTAACCACTACACATGGTTGCGCTTTGCTGTTGCCTGGATAGGAAAAAATATTAAAATTAGAACATTTATCCTTTATGGCATTTTCATTAATGTGATGTGATTTGATACAAGTGATACGTATTCACATGGGTAAAGACTAGCAGAAAACAGTAAAAATATAATGGAACAGGCAGTTCAGAGCCAGAGATAATATATCAGAAAGTAGCTAGGAAAACATTTCATTTGTTAATGTTCATTTACTTTTCTCCTTTTGTATGTTAAAGCATGGACAAATAGAGTTTTTGGGTTAAGTAGACAAATTGAAACCTTAGTCATTGCTTTCTTTTTAGATCAGTGTTCTATTCTTCCTGTCCTCCTTTCTTTCCCCATTTCTAATCTTGAAAAAAGACTTCACTCTACACAAAGAAAGTCAAGAACTTATGTTTTCAGAGGGAAAACAGGAAATAACCACTTTTTTACCCCCTTTCCCAATTGATTGGTTCCTTTGAGTTTCCTGTTAAAAATGTCCTTTTTGTTTATTCTGTTTCTGAGTGGATTAGAGCAGGGGCCATCAGATAGTCAGTTTGAATAATGGATTTTTTTTTTCCAGGCAACTCTGGACAGTGAAGTTTTAAAGGATTTTGTTTTTCTGGGAAGGGAATGGTTGCTCATTGAAACCAGATATAAACTTCATTTTGTATTTTGCTTATCTTCCTGTGATTTCTTTTCTCTCTGAATTGTGGGTTTAGGATTTCTTCTCTTTCTTTAAAGTTTCTTTTATTATTATTTATCAAAACATAAGTTAGAGTGTTTTTAAAAAATGTGTTCCTCCTACATTGTATGTTCAATAAAATGCTACATATTTATGTAGTATACAATTTCATGTGGGTCTAGTTGTCAAAATAACCTTCTTTGCTTAGAAATATTATCTAACTTTGAAATAT